GCTGCCCCAAAACATGGAAGTTGTCACTCACTTTCACACTGGTACACTGCCACTTACTGTGCTGGGGCCAGATGATAAACAATGAGGCCAGATCATGTGCATACTAAACTAGCAGCAGAGACACGCATTTGTAGGACTGCGTTACTGAACAGCAGCTCTTGCAGCTTCCCATAGCAGTGACCACACATGTAGTCCATCTCTAGTCACTTGCCAGCATTTCTTTCCTGATCTCTACCCATACAAATAACCTGCTGTGTGAAGGATGCCTTTTTTTAGATCTTCTGCTCTGTATTGAAAAATACTTTATGAGCAGAGCTCACCATGAAGTTGCATTTTGGAAGCTCAAGAGAATAATAAATGATTAGTTCTGTCCTCTATTTCTGTCAGAGAGTTAGTCCATGGCAGTAACTTATATTAACATGGACATTTTCAGAGATGAGGAAGAGAGATCCTTCAAAGGTACGAGGTTTTTGGATTGTCAGAGACAGCTAGAAGAGACACACCTAAATCAACAAGCCCAAGAAAGCCTGCAGCATGAATTCAGTTCTTATTTGTTCAGTTGTCCTACTCTGCCAACGCACATGTTCTGAACAGCCAACATGCACACACAAGTGGCTCAGAGCCTACCACCCAGCAGATGTTACTTCTTGCTCAGCTGTCAGCTGAGGTAGTTGGGCATTGTCATCATATTTAATGGAAAACGAGGGGCAGCAGGGTTGGGGCAATCATTAAGAACAAGAGTTAGAATTATTGCTGTACAAAAGAGAAAGAATACCAAACACAAATTTTCAAGATGAATTTCTGCAGTTTCTAGTATAATATATAACAAGGCTTGCACTTGGTGCTCAATATACCCTAAATGAGCACAGAATTTAATGCTGGTAGAAACCCTCACTTGTTATTTATGACTACACACATCACCAAGGAAAGAGAACCATGAGTGAATATAGATTCTACGTTCGTTTACAGCAGATGTGACTTAAACGCAGACCCTTTTTGTATGAGAACCCTCAGTTGGACATCTGGGCTCTCACAAATTACGGAAAGTCATCCTGCACATTCTAACATGGATGCCCACAGAGAGTTTGAAAATTGTTTCTTACCAACAATCATGTGGTTGCAGACATCACAGAAGGTGGGCTTTTTGAAGATGTGCTCCTGGAAGATGTGAGCCTTGTTGTTTTCTGACAGCTGCTGGGTTCTGGTGGGTGAGGACGCCTGGCTCTCTGAGCTGGGGAGCTGCCCTGTGCTCGTGCTCACCTCCGGCATCAAGTCCACTTGCAGCTTCACATCACTGTTAGTCCTCTGGAAGAAATTGTCTGCACTTTTACTCCGCAAGCTTTTGGTCTTGAAGGAGAGTGATCGTTTAAGTTTCTGCAGCTGCAAGAAAGAAGCCAATCACAATTAGTTCCTCTTTCTTTTCAACAGCAAGGTGAGGCTCTTGGTTTTGGCATTTGCTGCTGCTAAGTAAGCAAAAGACAGTTTCTTGTCCCCTGGGCACCTGGGAGCCATTAGCAAACCTGGAGCCACCTGAGAAATAAAACTGACTCTAAAATTTAACTAGCAATTTCAAAATTAAAAAAAATAAATAAATAACAGATCCCTACTTGAAAATAAACCACTCTTCATATATTTTCTGATGTGGTAATAAACTCCATACCCCTAAGGAATGCTATTTTTCTTTCATGTATGACCACCAGGAGATACTGTAGAGAGCTGCACACACACTCCCTTGGAGAATATATTCTTTGCATTCAAGCATAAGAAAAGTTAGAGCCATTGCATAGCCTTCAGCAGCCTTTAAAGCTATTTCAGGAACAGATGTTAAATAGCATTACAAGAAGAGTGGATTCAGTAAATAAATTCAATATAATTAAACGCCTTGAATTTGGCAGAAACAGACTACACACAGTTTTGATGAAGGAATACTTGTTCAGTTTTTTTTAAAAAGGTTAAAAGGTTGAGGAGCAATAACAGTATAGTTAACTAGTCAACTGCTAGCTAATGCATTAATTAATTCATACTAATTAACAAGCAGCCATATAATTCCTTATAAAGAGCATTGTATATTCATCACCAGATGTTACTTCTGGAAAGATTACTGCGGTGAAAATTGGGAAGAAACAAACAGGGAAGGAATGCTCACCTGTATCAAAAGACCCAGGTTCGCAGAAAAGACTCCCCAGAGAAGGGATCTCCAGAAAAGACCCTTCCTCTGTGGCAGTCAGCCCTTAAATGGGTCTAGGAGAGGTGCAGCCAAGCTCCACCTCTTTGGTCACACAGCTGAATCGCCTTCACCTGTGCTCCCAGGGCTGACTCAGTGCTCGCCTCAGGTGAGCAATCAGTGCTTCAGGCTGTGACTCGACAGGTCCATACACCAGAATATTAAGTATCAGAATTAGACATAATCAACTCAAATTTATACTGTTTCTTTGCCCACAAAGTGTCTTGTACCCTATCAGAGCTCCTCTCATCCTTCCCCCAAAGAGTTTTATGTAAGGCTGAGAAGGGCACAGAGGTGACCCACAGAAGGCATCAGATTATCAACCACATCATTTTGCAGTTTTGTCAACTCACCCATGAGTAGGATAAAAGGAAAGCATCCTGGGAAAGCCACCTTTTATCCACTTTCTCTTTGCTGTCTCTGAAGTGTAATACCTCCATCCCACCTTTCTCCTCAGCAATAAATCAGCCATCACAGAATCACTTCAATCTCTGCTGCAATTATCTGGATATAATGTGATATAACATCTGATGTTTTCCATGCCTCATTGGCTGGCTGTGGCAAACCAGCAGGAATGGTTTATATTAGAAGCTGTTTATGTTAGAAACAGTGACGATTGGGAATCATAATTCACACTGATTTAAAGGGAAGAGTTCACATGCTTTCCCAAAAAAGCATAGGACTGTCACACTGACATAGTGGCCCCAGAGTACTTGTTCTTCCCAGTTCTTCTTTCTGATCCATCCAGTCTCTTTGCAGTGCAGCCATAACTGCACTATGGGATAAGAGCCTGCAGGCATCCTGAGGGAAACCTCTCTACCACTTCCACACATAGGCAGCTTGCCCTTGAAGAAGGGAGGTTCTCCAGCTCTCTCCCCACTTTGCACAACACCGAACTCCCCAGTCCCAATAAACGGGCAAAAACCATCACATCTGATTAACAGCGTTTGCGTTTGCTACATGGAAGATTTCCCACATCCTGCTAGAGAAACCTTCTGCTCCCTGAGCTGCTTCTCCATAGTGGATTTGAGAGCCAGGGGGATCAAAGCTAGGGGCTTGTCCCACATCTCTCTCTGGGCACAACAGGAGAAGTCCTGGGTGTAAAGGAAAGAAATTCCCACCAGTTTGTCAGAAAGTCTCAGTGGGGAAATGGCTAAAGAAGAGTAGTTAAGTAAGTCAATAAATGCCAACTTTGAGGCAAAAGTGACTTCTGTTTTCTGAAAATCATTCAGCTGAAGGATAAGTAGAGGACTTGCTGAGCCTGAAAACCACCTTACAACAGCACCAACAAAATGTGAGATTCTTCCTCTCCTGCTTAGATGTTAAGTCACTGGCACTGTGGTTACTAAGTGCTTGAACTACTTCGTCTTCCCAGTGACAGCCAGAAGCTCAGTAATAACTTGCTCCCTTGCTACCGAAGTGCTTCCCACCAAAGTCAGACCTAATCAGTGCAGAAAAACACAGAATTACACCACCACAGGGTGACTGAAATGGCATTCATTATTGATTTGCCATCCGTTTCTATAGTGTCACATGAAGTTAATTAAATTTCAAAATACTGCTTCTGCCACAGAAAGAAGAGTAAGCTGTGCAATACAGTATTTGTTGTATCATGAATCAACTGTTTTTTAAGCTCAGCAATGCAGTATGTTTCAAGGAGTTCTGCTTTTACTACCTTTATAGCATTCTACCTTGCAGACATTTGCCAGTTTAGATATATTCCAGCACCCTTTTTTCCCCTGGGCAGAAAAGTCAGTAGTTTTCCAAAGGGGGGTAGTATAGCATCCAGGCCATGCATGTCCAAACCTATGCATAGGCACTCAGGTGAGTGTGCAGCTGTGCATACAACAACTACAGCCTCAGTGTTGAGAACAGAACACAGATATTCATGAAAAATTAGACCAAATTACATCTACAGGCTTGGCAGGCATCTCTGCATGAGCTAATAATCCTGAGCACTATCCTGTGTTAAAATCATTTTCAAGGTGAGCATTCGCGCTGTTACTCAAATGGAGAATTCTCATTGTGAAGTGTGCTATGGCCTGGCCCACTCTTTAACTGGATGATTTCAAATGTAAACACTGGCTTATAACAGGCTTGGTTTTGATCTGCCATTAACTGATTTAATGTATTTGTGATGCTACTCCTAAGGGAGAAGCTTGGAATTCAACTGGAACCAGCTCTGTCAATAGAGAGAGAAGTATGCAAATTTTAGTATGATTAATTTCCTTCTGCAGAATTAATTGAGTCCAAGGTTACGACATAGGCAAAAACACTACCAAACTTTGCAAAAATGTAAGACTGTAATTGCTCTGTGTTTGACCCTACTCCAACTCCAGTGAAATATCACAAACAAAATCATGGACTGAACGAAGACCTAAACCAATCACTAAAAGGCTCTAAGAAACACACTGGAGATAATTCTCCTAGGCCTTTCACATTTTCTGTCCTGCAGGGAAGGTTTCAAATAAGCTTTTGCATAAATAAATAAATAAATAAATAAATAAATAAGATCAAATTAAAATTCCCACAAGCACAAGAACTTTTCTAGAATTACGATAGGATCACAAGGCTTCACAATACCAATCCTTCAGAAATGCAAACCTTTGGTATCAAATTCAAGATGTTCTGGTGGGTTGGAATTAGATGGGGAAGAGAGTTTGTCTCTAGTCAAAAGCTTTTTATCGGTCACACAACTCAATATATTAAACTTGTGGACAAGGAAGAGATAAGTGAAATAGCTAAACCCTGGATCTTTATTAACCTTTTTTTTCAGCATTATCCAACACAATCTCCATCTTCTTCAGAGTTATTGAATGTTCGTGCTTCAAGGAATCAGGAAGCCCTGATGAACTACAGCTTATCAACACCTCCTCTTCTTCTGAATTCCCTTTACTACAGCTCTTCAGCTGCAGGCTGAAAGCAGCAGGCAGAAAAAGAACAGCTACTGAAATTCATTCCTAGTGTGGTGTTGTTGCCAGTGATATTGATTTCAATGGGAGTTGCACCTGCCCTTGCTGTGGATTTATTTTACGTGGAAAGCACACAACTCTTGTCTACGATTTTGGTTTAAGAACTTTGAGGGGAAGCTGGAAAGATATCAGAGGTTTGAACTGCTTTATGTAACTAACTTTGCAATTGAAAAGATAAATATATAAATTTCCAATTGTATTCTGCAAAGAATAATTTGTTTGGGCTCCTAATCATTTCCCTGATGTCTAGAAGCTTCTTTCCCAAGACTCTCTGGCTCTGCCTACAACTGCAGACAATGTGGCTCAGTAGGAGCAGATCAGCAGAGTGAAATGGAGGGTGTTGAAATGCATACAGCATGGAAACATTTCAGATCACAGAATACTCTGAAAGAGAGCAGCCCATTAGCCCTTCTGTGCAGTAAGTGTGTACGTGGAGCACAAGCAAATCCCCAAGAGAAGCACTCTGCACTCAATGAGGCTGTGAGTTGTTCCACAACTGAGAGGTTTGCTTTGAAATTGTACTCCCAAACCAAATTAAAATGCTAAGGTAAGTTTCTTCTCCAATTCTCTAGAAGAACTTCTCCATCACAGCTTCTTACCATTCAAAGCTCAGAGAAAGCCCCGCTTCTTCCACCTGAGTGCTTCACTCCTCTTTCATAAGCTCTCTCCTTAGTGATCTCAAGGTGAATGGTAGTTAACTGGAAGGACAAGCAATTTGATTATATTGTGTTTGCTTGGACCATTAGCTTTGGCATTCAGAGCAATCCTGATGGGAGTTATTTACTTCCCAACATGCTTAATCTTGCTCCCTGCTCAGCCACTGCTAGCCATCCTTGGCAGTAGTAGAGGCTCCTGGATGGCACAGGGCCAACAAGAAGGTTGTTTTTATAAATTTCCACACTCAACTTTATCTTCCACAAGAAAAGAACAAATGAAATAAGCTTATCCACTGTGCTTTCTGACAGACCACATGACAAAACCCTCATTTTCAGATGTCAGCTGTGCTACTGTCCTAGTAAAAACAACAAAAAAAAGTGATTGCTTGCTCTTCTCTATCCCTTTCTTCACAGTAGAGTTAGCAACATCATTAGATGGATTACAAGTAACACGAGGCATTAATGGTGTTGGGATGAACCCTTAGGACAATTTGATTGCTGCAATTCTTATACAATGTACCTCATTTGTTTAGCTATGGAGACTGTAAGTGCTGTAAAATAAACATCCACCTTCTATAAGGAATTATTTCTTCCTTCTTTCGGTTTTTTAAAACAACTTTCCAAATTATTTCACTCCTGTGTTATTATAAATGAAGGACTTCAACGTGCAGAACTGTTGCACTGATTAACTAGAGATCATATCAGGTGCATTACCAAAAGGGACTCAAACCAAAAGTGTTTCAAAAAAGGGAAAGAACAACAGTGTTGACAAATGAAATCTATTCTACCAAATGCAATCCATTTTTCTGGGCCAAAGAGCATTCATTTTGTACCAGCAACCCCCGGAATATACTTCAGATGTTAAATGGATTTGTTGAAGGACTACATGTTACCAGGGTGTCAGCCAGCCTGAAGGCATTGCTGGACTTCAGCATGCTGCATTGATTAGAGCAAATAAGGAACTTTCTCCAATAGAAATGCTGCTATTGTGAGCATGGAGGCTCACAGTTTTCTTCTTAAAATTGAGGGACACAAAAGCAAGTGATTTTTGAGCACAGATGAGAGTGGGATCGTTGTGTTCTTCTCTAGTTTCGATGTAAAAATGCAATGCCTTGGCATTTCAGTGAGCAAAATAAGGTTATGACATGTCCGAAGCCAGTATGCAGTTTTATAAATAATGTGTTTGTTATCTGTTGATGAGAGAAATACCATGTCTCATAGAATTAACAAGATAAAAGGACATTTCAAACACTTAAGGGGTTGGTGTGTTTTTTGGCAAAGTATCCACGATAAAGTTTGTAAGCAAAGCTGATTCCTTTTCTATTTTCTCCTTTCTAAATAATAAATAGTACAAATACACTGCTGTACAATAGCACAAACTGAATTAGCTAGATTGACTTCAATTGCTGCCAATTTATACAGTCTGAGAATCTAGCTCTATCATGTATTTGCGGCTGCCCTAGACAGCTTTCTTAGAAGCCTTTAATTCCTCTTAATTCACTACAGACAAACAGAGAATGCTCATCACTGCACAATCTGCTACGTAATATATCTGTGTTTTTTTCCCAGAGAGATTGCAAAGCCATTAGAACAAATACATTTGTTATTGCTGTAAAAAATAAATAAATAAATAAATAAATAAAAATCATCTGTCTTCTCAAATACTGTACTGGACTTCTCAAAGGTAAAATCTTTTCTGTAATACCTAATAATAATGTTACTGATTTCCCAGGTACCTCCAGGTACTCTGATTGGTTACTGTTGCTCTGACCATCATCCTGTTGCTCTGACCATCATCCTTACATTACCCTCCCTGAACTCCACTGTTTTTGATACTCACCCACTGATCCTCACACCAGTTTAGGATATAAACCTTTCCATGCAGGTCTCTTACTGTGATTTTCTTTCACATGCTGAGTCCTAACTACAATGAGATGCTCTGATTGGCACATCAGAGCATAACAGCAAAAATTCCTGAAAGAGCCTCAGGGATTTTTTTCAGAGCACGCAATCTGAAGAGATGCTCAGTTGTCACCATTCCCACAAATGTCACTGTGAATCACACGTTCTCAGCCCTCTACTGATATACTACATCCTTGGCAGCTGTGTGTTTGCATATCTAATTGGCAGACCTCTAAATTATCAAGAGGTACAGTCTGCACGTGTAGTCAAACTGTGTTTGCTTAGCAGTTTTGTCCCTTCTGTACAACTCTCTGGCTTGGTTTAAACCATCCTGAATACCTAGATCTGAACAATTCCTTCTGCTGTTGGTCCCAAAATCTGTAGTTCGAGGTACATTTTCTAACACTGCGAAGAACCAGAACTAGAAAAAATGTGAAATAAAATGCCTGACAATATGAAATGGTTTGCCTTTTGCTCTAAATTCCTTTACATAGCCTTGAAATTCAGCATAAGCTGTAATAGGACAAAGTACTGCCTTCCAGGGAGTGGCACACTTGAGGAAACACACACAGTTTATTAACTACAATAATTTCTGTCAAATTTCAAGGAAATTCTTTTTGTCTTCATGATATTCTGAGCAGGCTACTTAGTCATAAGGCACAAAAAAAGTAAACTCTATGTGAGATATTCTGCAACTGTGACTTACCCTGAGCTTATATCATCTTCCCTGCCAAATATATTTTCATACTAGCTTCTAAAGACTCACTGTTCTTTAAACATTTTAAAACAGCTTGTAATAAGGAGGCAACATATGCAAAATAAATATAACAATATTTGTATGCATGTGAAAACCAGAAAATTAATTTTTTAATCAAACGCTAAGCAATTTTTTCTCCCCCTGAGAACAGCAAAATTAAATACATTTATTTATCTAGCTAAAACTCTCAAATGTTCTATCTAAAAGAATTTTTTTCAGTTAAGTTTTCAAGCAGCCCTATTTCAATGTACTCAACATTTTTTTCTTTTAATCTAGCTACACTAGAATCAGTAATCTAAAAAAAAAGACTTTATGTTACACTTCTGTTCCCAAGAGATTTCATCTCTATTAGTATTGCTTCAAATTTCACAACAAGTTGAGTTTGAGAAAAATGCTTGTGAATGAGTGGTTGTTTTATCATTGCATTCGTGTCACTCAGTCATGGTTTGAGCTAGGAACAGGTATGAAGCCTGTTTCTAGCAGAGAGGAAAACCAGTGAATCTTTCTCAAATCTGAAGCATTGCAAGCTCACAACTCACAAGAACATCTTTCAGAGAATCTTCTCATGCAAATCATGAAAATCAGATTTAGAGCCCCAAAGTCAGATATGCTGAGTTCACTGTGTTTAGCCCAGTGATCATCAGTTCTTCCTCCTTTGTGAACTCGTGCACAGATCAAAACATGTTACAGATCAAACTAAGCAATGCTTCATCCATTCCCAAAACGTGTTGATTGCTTTTTGTTGGGATTGGAAAATGCCTTGTCCCTTCTCTTGCCTCAGCTAGCAAGGAGGAGATGCTTCTTTCCAGAGAAGGCAGCAAGACTATAAATTCTGTATTTAATCACAGGAATATATTCTCCCTTCTACCAAACAGCTGTTCCAACATGGGTGGTATCAACTGTGGGAGATCTCCTGTAATGCAGGTTATGAGAGGTGGCTGGTGGAAAGACTGGCTACAAACTTTCTCCATGGCTCCTCTCTTCATGGCCAGGCAATTTAATCTCCAGTCTTTCCTCCTGGTGCTAGCAGACAAGCTTACAACACAAGCAAGAGATGATGAGGAACAGTCCTTCCATTTCTCTAAAATCCTCTTCTAACTTTAGGTTTCAAAATGGATGTTTCCTACTTCTTGGTTGATAACCCTGGGTTCACCTCAGGCATCTGATTGCTAAGCATCTGGTCATCTCCATACTTTGTCCCTATTACAGTGATGTGCACGTGTGGTTATCTCCTAACTTTTGACATAAGAGGAATTTAGACTGTTGTCTCTGAGGTCTCATCCACAAATCCTGCATTTTGCTGCTCCATTTGGATATCTCTTTTCCATTTCACCTTCTAAACGGAACAGTGATTTCCCTTTGGTAATTCCTGAAGTACTCTTGTAATAACCTTTGCAGCAGTGGAAGAGGCACAATGAATTTTGGATATTAAAAGGCTGGATTTCAGAGTAATGTAAATCCAGGCAGCCCTGCTGAGGTAAGTGAAGCTACACTGCACGCACCTGCTGAGTGTCTGCAGCAATAATATTAAGGCCCGAGTTTTGCTTCTTTTTCTTCTCACGAATAATCTGTGATGAATATGATTGTGAATGTAGGATTAATCATCTACGATTGTGCCTTGTATCTGTCCACCTATGAAGCATGCAGCATTATTTTCCATTATTGTTCTTTTGTGAAAGTAAAGCTCACTCAGATCATCTTAAAAAAGACAACTTCTGCTAAGAAGTGCTGGTCTACCTATGGTATAAATTTTCACCAATTCATTTTGTTCATGTGTTCTTTTTTTCTTTTCCTTTTTTTTTCCAAGCAGAGCTGTTTAGCTGTTCAGCAAAAGCAGACACTACTTTAAATGGTAGTATGTCTCTTGAAACAAACATGGAAATACATCTGGCAGGGCGGCTGACAGTAACGGAGGGGGACAATTAACATCAGCACCAGGTCCCACGTACCATATAATCACATTTGTACTGTCCACAGAAAGGAGGAATGAGATCTACTGGGAGTTGTGATAGTTAATATTTTAGCGTATCCACTCCTCCTTCTGGGGTTCCAAAATTAGGCTGTTAAAATTGCTTCATGATGAAAGCATATAAGTGCTCAGCTCTAGAGTTGTTGTCACTGGGCCAAATCCTAAGGTCTTTGCTCACTCCTAGCTCCAGCTGACTTCAGTGAGCATGGCTCCCAAGTAAAGGTTGGGGATTTGGCAGGACTATTGTATTGCTTCTTTTGAAGTGAAACTTTTTGTTTTTACTTTTTTGCTTTGTGCATTAAAAGCAAAGGATTTCTGCGTGTAGCATGAATAGCCACCTGAACACATGTGGCATCCTGTTATCTGAAGGACCTTATTCATCCTTCCTATTTCTGAAACCCTGTCAGTCAATCTCTTCTCCTCCATAACCAAATGCTGACAGACCCATGGAACACCTATGCCTCTTGCTTTTGTTTTTCCCAGATGTTTGTTTCAAATTTGTACCTAGTGTGACTTTATTCTGCCTAGATTTCTTGCTTAACTACTGTGCTGTTAGTCTGAAACAATGCTCTCTCATTTTCTGATCACAGAAAGAACAAAACCATAATGCCAGGATTTGGTTGCTATATGGCCTATTAGCTTAAAAAAAACCCTACCCAACACACAAACAAAGCTATTCTGGCTTATTTGATCCAATAGGTTTCTGCACCTCCTTCTTTCCTGTCAATCCACAAACAGATTCACGTCTGAATTATACAGCTTGTTCCCTTCTTTCCACTTCAAACTCTTTAGTGGGAAGATGATGCCTTACAGAATATTAGCAGTGTTTGTTGGCTCATTTTCAGTTTCTCTGTTTTCACAACCTCCTTCCCCTCCAAGTGCTTATTTTTACAACCTGGTAGCAAATTTTCTTCCTCCTCT